TATAAAAATAAATTGTATTTCTATATATCAGCGATGAACAACTGGATAAACGACTTTATAGTTTCTTATAAAGTTAAGCATATACTTACCATATGACCCAGCAATCCTACTCCTAGATATTTACCCAGGTGAAATAATTACTGTTTACACAGAAACCTGTATGTGAAGTTTTCAATAGCAGCTTTATTCATAACTGCCAAAAACTGGAACAAAAAATCCAATATATCCTTCCACAGGTGAATGAATAAACAAACTATGATACATCCATACAATGGAATACTACTCAACAGAAAAAAAGATGGCACAAATTACTGACATGCACAACATGAATGAATCTCAAATGCATATGACAAGTGAAAGAAGTCATGCTGTCGGTTTCTATTTATATGACACTTATGGAAAGGGAAAACAATAATGATAGAATATAGCTCAGTGTTTGCCAAGGACCAGTGATATGGGAGGAGTTTGATTACAAAGGGGTATAGGGGAATTTTTTTGGGATAAATGAACTATTCTGTATCTTGATTGTTGTGGTGGTTACACAACTGTACATGTTGTCAAAACTCACAGAACTGTACAATAAAAGGGTAAATTTTACTATCTGTCAGTTACGTCTTAATAAAATAAATTGGGGAGAAAATCAATTTCATTTGCCACACCAACAGACTAAAAACAAATAAACCAACTAACCATAAGATCATCTAAATAGAAAAAAAAAGTTTCTGAAAACACCCAACCTCGAGTCATAATAAAAACTTCACCAAACTAGGAATAAATAGGAACTTCTTCAACCTGATAAAGGACATATACAAAAAATCCATAGCAAATATCATACTTTACAGGGAAAAACTGAATGCTTTCTCTCCAGGACTGAGAACAAAGCAAGGATGTAGTTTCTCACCTATTCTATTCAGTATTGTACTGGAGATTCTAGCAAGTGCCATAAGGCAAGACAGAAGTTTAAAAAAAAAAAAAGCACAGAGTGGAAAAGAAGACATAAAATTGTCCCTATTTGCAGATGGCATGATCATCTATATAGAAAATACTAAGGACTCTACAAAAAAGCTATGAGAACCAACAAGTGTGTACAAACAATTGGAAATGGAAATAAAAAATACCATTTCCAATATCACAAAAATATAAAATACTTAGGGATATGTTTGACAAAAGATGTGCAACACTTATACACTAAAAACTAAAACACTACTGAGAGAAATTAAAAACCTAAATAAATGGAGAGATGTACTGCATTCATAGATCTAAAGACTCAATATTCTTAAGATGTTAATACTCCTCAAATTGATCTATAAATTCTATGCAATCCTAATTAAACTCCCAGCAAAGTTTTTTGTAGATATTGACGAGCTGATTCTAAAATTTATATGGAAATATAAAAAGACCTAGTTTTCCCAAAACAATTTTGAAAAAGAACAACTTTGGAGGACTTATATTGCCTGATTTCAGGACTTCTTATAAAGCAACTATATTAAAGACATTTTGGCATTGGCATTGGCATAAAAATAGACATGTAGATCAATGAACTAGAATCTAGAAATAGATCTACGGTCATTTGATTTTGATAAAGGTGTCAAGTCAAAATGAATCATAGACCTAAATGTAAAGCTTGAAAATATACAACTTTTAGAAGAAAACTTAGGAGGAAATCTTAGTGACCATGGGTTTGGCAAAAATTTCTTAAACAGGACACAAAAACCATGAGCTATAAAAGAAAAAATTTTAATAAATTGGATGGCATCAAAATAATAAAGCTTTGTTCTTCAAAAGACATCATTATAAAATGAAAAAGCAAGCCACAGCCCAGGAGAAAATATTTGTAAAACAGAACTCTTCTGTTGGATATATCTAAAATATATAAAGAATTCTAATAAGAAAAAATCCAAACAACCCAATTAAAAGATAGGTAGAATGAACACTATTCTAGTGATGGATACCCTAAAAGTCCTGACTTAAGCATTATACAAGGTATCCATGTAACAAAAACATTTGTACCCCCATAATACATATTTTTTTGAGACAGAGTTTTGCTCTGTCACCCTGACTAGACTGCAGTGGTGTCCTCATAGCTCACTGCAACCTCCAACTCCTGGGCTCAAGGGATCCTCCTGCCTCAGCCTCCCAAGTAGCTGGGACTACAGGCCTGCATCACCACGCGCAGCTAATTTTTCTGTTTTTAGTAGAGATGGGGTCTTGCTCTTGCTCAGGCTGGTCTAGAACTCCTGGCCTCAAGCAATCCTCCTGCCTTGGATTACCAGAGTGCTAGGATTACAGGCATAAGCCACTGTGCCCAGCCCTTAATATTTTGAAAAAAAGAGAAAGTATTAACAAGAAAAAAAATACACAAAAAAGATGCAGAAAACATTTCAACAGATACTTCACAAAAGAGAACATACATACGGCAAATGAGCACATGAAAAGATGCTCAACATCACTAGTCATTAGGGAAATGGAATTAAAACCACAATGATGTATCACTAACCATCCACACAGAGTAGCTAAAATTTAAAAGATTGATTATATTAAGTACTGGCAAGAATATACAGCAACTAGAACCCTCATACATCGTTAGCAGGAATGTAAAATAGTACAACCACTTTGGAAAATAGTTTGGCAGTTGCTTGAAAGTTAAAACGCATACCTACCATACGAGAAAACCGTCTATTCCTTGCTATCTACCCAAAAGAAATAAAAAGCATATATCCACAAAAAGATTTGTATATAAATGTTCAGTATCATATTTGTAGTAGCCCCAAACTACAAACAACCCAAATGCCCATCAATAGGTGAGTGTATAAACAAATTATGGTATAGCCACGCAATGAATGCGATGCCATTCAGCAATAAAAAGAAATTATGATATATGCAACCATATGGATGAATCTCACAATAATTGTGAATAAAAGCCAGAAAAATTACACTGTATGATTCCATTTTTATAAAATTCTAGAAAATGAAAACAGATATATATAGTGACAGAAAGAAGATTAATGGTTGCCTGGAACCTCTCAATGGTTCAACCATTGCCAAGAATGGGGAGTAGAGGGGTAGGCCAATGAGGGGAGGGAGGGATTACAAAGGGATACAAAGAAAGTTTTGGCGATGATAGATATTGTCAGTATCTTGGTTGTGGTGATGATTTCATGGGCCCATACATGTGTCTAAATTCATTAGCCTGTATACTTTAAATATGTATAATTTATTATATGTCAATTATAACTCAATAAAGCTGTTAAAAAAAAGTAACTGAACCTCAACAGGGGCAAAGCTAGAAAGGATTCTATACTCTTGATCAACAACAGTTCACAGACATTCATATCTTTAGGAAATAAGGCTTTCAGGTAGAACTTTAGATTTTGTAGTGTTTACTTCTAAACCAAAAAAAGCCATTTCCCACTTTTTCCTATTCCCAGTGTAAACAAGAGACATGGCAGTTCAAGCTGTCCATACCCTCACTCGAGCTGCAGTGCCTTCCATTCCACGGCTCTGAGTCTCTTTCCGCTTATCTGCCACCTCCCGTTGTTTCTGAAGAGCATCCTTGAGACGCTTGTTGGCAGCTGCTGCCTAAATAAAAGTGGCACATAGTAAATTCTTTTTTTTAGAGACAGGGTCTCACTATGTCACATAGCTGGAGTGCAGTGGCATAATCATAGCTCACTGTAACCTCGAACTCCTGGGTTCAAGTGATCCTCTCGCCTTGGCCTCCCAAGTAGTTAGTTAGGTTAAGATTACAGGTACATGCTACCATATCCAACTAATTTTTTAAAAATTTTTTGTAGAGATGGGGTTTCACTATGCTGCCCAGGCTGGTCTTGAAATCCTGGACTCAAGTGATCCTCCTGCCTTGGCCTCCCAAACTTCTTCAATTACAGGCATGAGCTATTGCACCCAGCCTGCCGGTCAAGATTAGCATCCCTGGTTTCTTAGGACACTTGCTCAGTTAAGGGATATTACTTTGCCAGCATCTGAGCCTGAAGATGAGGATACATTTGACCCAGCAGATTGAATTTTCTTACCTCCTCAGTTTTACGTCTGAGCACATTGGATTGTTTCTGGAAGTTTCTTTCAAGTTTGAGCAGCTCATATTGTCTCTTACGGTCCTGACAAGAAAAAAGTCAGATCTTAATTGCTGCTCAGCTAGCTAAAATAAAACCGTATACTGCAATGAAGGAGTCTTTCAAAACATCTTTGATATGTAAGGCTAAATACAATACAGTGAGCTGCCTTCATCTTCTCCTATCACAGTCAAGAACTGGTAGCTCTAGAAACCACGTTTGTATGTAGAGGGGTGGTGGTTTTCCCCTTTGGATTATTTCTGTGGTCAAATTCTTGAAGTTTCAGTCACAAGTCAATTACTAGAAATAATGTCATAGAATGTGAGACCTGGGTGGAACCTTAAAGATCATCTAATGAACAGTCCCTTCCACATAGTTATTGATAGAGCTGAGACTCAGGTTGCCTGAGAAATAGACCAGTATTTTCCCTCCACAACCCTACCAGTGCATCCCGTCATAAAGCCAGGGTCTTTCCATCCCAAAGGTTATTCTCCTAAAAGCAACTTCGTCCCTTAAAATTAGCTGGCAAAAAGGAGAAAGCCTATCATATAGTCAACCACTTACAAAATTAAGGTAGCCTGCAGCTAAAGAAGAGGTTTTTCTTTTTTCTGAGACAGAGTCTTGCTCTGTCACCCGGGCTAGAGTGAGTGCCGTGGCATCAGCCTAGCTCACAGCAACCTCAAACTCCTGGGCTCATGCGATTCTCCTGCCTCAGCCTCCTGAGTAGCAGGGACTACAGGCGTGCGCCACCATGCCTGGCTAACTTTTTCTATTTTTAGTTGTCCGGCTAATTTCTTTCTATTTTTGGTAGAGATGGGGTCTCATTCTTGCTGAGGCTAGTCTCAAACTCCTGACCTCAAGCGATCCTCCTGCCTCGGCCTCCCAGAGTGCTAGAATTATAGGCGTGAGCCACCACGCCCAGCCAAGAAGAGGTTTTTCATTCCTAAACAAAACCAAGTCATTACTGAATATGTTCTCTCTGTCCAGAGATAAAAGATAAAGAACAAGAAATACTATGGGATATCATTTGTTTCAACTGAGCACACAATATTTAACTGCTTTGATTTCTTGGTCCCTTCCCTAGTCTATTAATCCATTAGGCTCCTTCTAGCTTCACTTGTTCCTTATCCAATCTGGAAGGCATGGTTACCCATTTTCATCATGTCTTTGCCAGCATAGTAGGACAATTAATTTCACTCAACCAGTATAATATTAGTGGGCCATCTAGCACACGATAGGCACTATGCTAGGTGTCTGGGAGACAAGGATGAACATGACATGGTTAATACTCTTACAGAGACTACTAGAGAATATAAACAACATGCAGTACAATTATAATAAAATATGATGTGCCTTGATATGAGACATCAAGGGAATTAAAGAAACACAGCTAAGAGACTGAGCTACTCCAGTGAAAAGAGAAAACCCAACACTCTCCTCACCACCAAACTTCTTGAAAGAAAGGTTTATGTTTAGTGCTTCCACTGGTCATTGTTGTTTACTCTATAATCCCCTTTAAATAATTCCTGCTATTGTCCTGGAATCTCCTATTTATTAAATTCAGTGGTCTTTTTATAGTCTCTATCTTCTTTGCCTTCTCTCTCAGCATCATTAGCACTACTGATAACCTTCCCACACCATCCTAATTCTTTTCTACCATATAAACTTCATTGTCATCTTTTCATTTTCTTATACATGAAATAAAGAGATTCTCTTCTTAGCCTTCTTTTTCTATATATTTTCCCAACGTTTCAATTTTCACTTCTAGGCAGACAACTCTGTAATTGTTAAGTCCAGCCCATTCCCTCCCTTGAAATCTAAACCAACATCATCCAATATTTGTAGGTCTCTCCATCCCAAAGGTTATCCTCCTAAAAGCAACTCTATCTCTTCAAACTGGCTGTTTCCTTTGACTTTCCAGTCTCTCAAACCCTGAAGTACTTTTTGATGCTCTACATTCCTTTACATTTTTTTGAAAGGCAGGTTTTGCATTAAATATCATTAAAATCATTCAATAAACATTAATTGAGTGCCACTATATGCCAGTCACTGTTCTAGCCATTGGGAATACATAAGTGAACAAAGATCCTTGTCAATGTGGAATATATATTCCTGTACAATGTAAAGTTATCATCACTTCATAGATGTGTCATCTTTCTTCTTTTGTTTTTAACAGTTTTATTGAAATATAATTCACACACCATACAATTTACCCATTTAAAGTACATGATTCAGTGGTTTTTGGTATATTCACAGAGTTGATATGACCATTATCGCATTCAATTTAAAACATTTTTATTATTACAAAAAGAAATCTCACACCCTTTAGCTATCACCCGACCCCCAAAGCCCTAGGCAACCACTAATCTATTTTTTGTCTCCATAGATTTGTCTACTCCGGACATTTCATATAAATGTAATCCTATAATATGTGGTATTTTGTGACTGGCTTTTTCACTTAGCATAATCTTTTCAAGGTTCATCAATGTTGTATGTAGCATGTATCAGTGCTTCATTCCTTTCTATGGCTGAATAAAATTCCATTGCATGAATACACTACATTTTATTTATCTATTGATGAATGATCAGTTGATGGATGTTTGGGTTTTTCCACTTTTTGGCTATTATGAATACTGTTCTATAAACATCTGAGTATAAGTTTTTGCATGACATGTTTTCTTATCTTCCTGAGTAGATAGAACTAAGAGTGGGATTGCTGGATTTATCCCCTTGAAGAACTGCCCAACTGCTAAAGCAGCTGTACCATTTACACATCCCACCAGCAACATATGAGGTTGCAATTTCTCCACATTCTTGTCAACACTTATTATTATCTGTCTTTTTGATTATAGCCATCCAGTGGGTATGAAATATCTCATTGTGGTTTTGATTTACATTTCCCTGATGGCAAATGACACTGAGCACCTTTTCATGTGCTTATTGCTTTGCCCATTTGAAAACTGGGTTATCTTTTTATTTTTAATTTGTAAAAGTTCTTTATATATTCTGGATATAAGCCTCTTATCAGTTGTGATTTGTAAATATTTTCTCTGAATCTATGCATTGGCTATTCACTTTCTTGATAGTATTGTTTCTGATAAATAGGTATTCTTTCTTATTTAAATGTTTGATAGAACTCACCAGTGAAGTCATCTGTACCTGGGCTTTTCTTTGTGGGAAGTTTCTAAATGTACTAATTTAACCTCTTATTACCAGTCTACAAAGATTTTCTCTTTCTTCTTGAGTCAGTTTTGGTAATTTTTGTCTTTCCAGGTATTTGTCTATTTCATCTAGGCGATCTAATTTGTTGGCATAAAGTTGTTCATAGTCCCTTATAATCCTATTCTTCTGCAAGACTGGTAGTGATAGTCCCTTCTTTTATTCCTAACTTTAGTAATTTGGATTTTCTCTCTTTTTTCTTGTTAAGGTTACCTAAAAGTTTGTCAGTATTTGTTGATTGTTTCAAAGGACCTCTTTTTACCTCTTCTCTAATTCATTAATTTCCACCCCAATGTTTTTACTATTTTCTTCCACCTACTAGCTTTGGGTTTAATTTGCTCTTCTTTTTTTCAGTGTTTTAAAGCAGAAGGCTAGGTTATTGATTTGAGATCTTTCCTCTTCTTTTTTATTAATTGAGATGTAGTCTCACTATGTTGCCTACACTCGTCTTGAACTCCTAGGCTCAAGTGATCCTCCTACGTCAGCCTCTTGAGTAGCAGGGACTATAGGTGCCTTTCTTCATTTTTAATATAGGCATTTACAACTATAAAATTTCCTCTAAACACTGCTGTAGCTGCATTCTGTAAGTTTTGGTATGTTGTGTCTTTGTTTTTATTCATCCCAAAGTATTATATTTTCTAATTTCCCCATGACTTCCTTTTGACTCATTATTTATTTAGGACTGTGTTGATTAACTCCTCATATTTGTGAATTTTCCAAATTTCTTTCTGTTATTGATCTCTAATTTCATTTTATTGTGGTTGGAGAGTAGATTTTGTATTGTTTCAATCCTTTTAAATTTAATAAGGCACGTTTTATGGCTTAGCCTAAAGAATGTTCCATGTGCACTTGGGAAGAATGTATATTCTGCTGTTGTTGGTTGGAGTATTCTATAGATATCTGTTAGGTCTAGTTTATAATCTAGCATAGTATATAAAGTATAGACCAATACTTCTTATGAATGTAGATGTGAAAATCCTAGGAATTGTATTCCTGAAGTTTGCAACATCCTTGCTGATCTTGTGCCTAGTTGTTCTTGTCATTATTGAAAGTGGGGTATTAAAGTCTCCAAATATTACTGTTGATTTGTCTACTTTTTCATTTCTCTCAGTGTTTGCTTCATATATTTTAGTGCTCTGTTGTTAGGTGTATTTTCAGGCCCTTATGATCTTTGTGGATAATACAATATCTTCTTGTGTTCTGGCCTCTAGTTTATCAATACTAAAGTTTGTTCTACATATTACTCCCAGATATATCTTTCTAAAGCATTATTTTGTTGATATCACTTTGTTTCTCAAAAACCTTAAAAGTCTTTATACTATTAACAAAATGAAGTTCAAACTTCTTGGATCTTTAATATTACAGTTTAACTTGTCTTTCTTAGTGAATCTTTTACTATACTCCATTCCAACTGGACCATTTGCCATTCCTTGAATATGTCTACAAAGTTGTCATCTCTGTCTTTGCTCCCACTGTTCCATCTATCTGGAATGTCCATACTTATCTCTATCAAAATCCTCCCTATTTATTATTCAGGACCTATTCAGCTATCATCTTTTCACTCCAACTGGAAGTGTGCTTTCCTTTCTCTTACTTTTGTATTTCATACTATTCAAAGTCCAGATCTTTTCATTCTTTGCATTTGAGAAATCCATGCTTATGTCTTATCTTCCCCTTTAGACAAGGCATTCTTCAAGGACAGAGCCCATATACTACTCATCTTTCTATTTCTCAAGGTACCTAATGGATAGTACCTTGCACATAGTAGACATTTAATACAAAGCCGTTAAATTCATGAATATGTCACATTTTTGGAGACACCAGGTGTTTGAAGAGAAGCATTAACATCGTTAGTCAGCTCAGAGAAGGATTTATTAGCTAGACTTTTGAGAAGTTTTAGTTACTTACTCTTTCTTTTAACTGCATTAATTCTTTGTCTTTTTGATGCTTCCACTGTCTAAACTTCTCAGCATCCTCTTTCATCTGACGCATTAACTGTACCCGCTGGTTTTTCATCATCTGTAAAAACAAAAACCAGTATAAGTATTAGTCACCTGCACTTTATTCTAGGCTGATGTGCAGATGCATAAACTTACCATTAAGAAGAGAGAAAAACCAGAGTTAGGCTGAGAAGGCCACCAACGGATTTTCTGATTAGGCTTGTAATACCTCTTGCTATGTTTATACAGGGTTTCTAAGTATAAACTACACAAACGAACACTCTGAAGAAATAAAAGAAGTACCTATAAGCTAAATCCAGCCCTAAATTCACTGTATATATGTGGAATTTCAAGGAACTATCTACTAAGCCTCAAGGACTAATCCACCTAGCGACTATTGTATTCTAAAGGTTTCAGTACAAACCTGTAACCTGTAACCACCACTTTGTAGATTTTATAAATTGTACATTCAATAACTGAGCATTTTCTCTAAGTGTCTGTCATCTTGCTACTACTTTATGAAATTATGCCACATGATCATAATCGTGATCAGGATATTAATATCACCACTAAATATGGAGATGCCTTTGTCTTTTGGTTTCAGAGAATCTAACATTAAACTCTGAATGTCAAAGCAAGGTTTCATTATTCAGATTCTAGGTAACTAACAGCACAATGTTCTGCAAAACAGACATATGTGGAGACTCACACACTTGAAATAATTGCCCTGCCTGCTACTTTCTCATCTGAAAACACCTCTGTAGTATAATTCTAAATGGAACACCTATGTTTGTAAATTCCAATGGGGTAAATGCAAGGATGAGAGTTTATTACCCGTATCTCCTGGTTCAGTTTGGAGACTGTATACTCCGTGGATTCCTTCAGTTTCAGAAGTTTGGACTGTTCATTCAGTTTCTTCTTCAGATCAGCTATTTGGCCCTCCAGCTCCTGGAGACGTTTGCGGCGGCGCTCACTCAACCTAAACACAGATGCTGTAGGAGTGAAGACTACCAGCGGCAAAGCCTGACTTCAAAAGACGTAATACTAGACTCCCAGATTCACAACCCTGATATACATAAAATAGGTGACTAGTCACGTAGCCATCTTAAAAAAGGAATACCATCCAAACAACCCAAACTGCCTCAATAATGGGAGCTTCATAAAAAGAGTAAAACAAATTTTTTTAAGTATGCAACAATGGAATTGCCTCAATATACACCCCTTAATGTGTCCAAAGGATGGTTCTTTGAAGACATTTCACTTCGCTTTAGCTGTAAGGAATAATTCTGATGATCATAACACAATTTTGAGATATAAAGTAGACATCCAGAATAACTTTTAGGAACATGAGCTTTAGACTCAACAGAGAGATAAAACAGAGTCACTGAGTAAAAAGAAGGTAGAATAGCCAATAAGGGAGAGGTCTGAGGGAGAGTAGGATGTTCTGGTTATCTGTCTTGCCTGGTATTATTCTTAACTGATAAGGGATGGCTAGATTGATTCTGAAATCACTAGCCTGGACACTAATTCTATCCACAAGCTAATTTACCATCAGTGCAGGGACAAGGAAACAGCTGCTATCTAGTAGATATGATAATCTTTCAAAAGCCAGCTCAAATGCTAACTTTTTACAAAGCTTTCTTTCATCATACCAGCCTGAATTGATATTTCTTGCCTCTGAACTCTTAACATAATTATTGTCTAAGAAATTTATTTGGCTACTAATCATTTGCTGTATTGTAGCATTCTTTTACTATCATCCTGAGATTTTTTTTTCTGAAATAGAGTCTCACTCTGTCACTCCGACTGGAGTGCAGTGGTGCAATCACTGCAACCTCCAACCCTTGGGCTCAAGTGATCCTTCTGTCTCAGCCTGTAGAGTAGCTAGGACTATAGGTGTGCACCACCACACCTGGCTAAATGAGATGTTATTTAAAATCTCAATTACTTAACTTTCCTTGTGTTTAGGTCTCCTTTCCACAACTAGGTTTAAACCCTTTTGGGGCAGTAAATGAGTCTTCTACTCCTCCTCTATTCCCTCCAAAGCTCCTCACACATAGTAGGGACTTGAAATAACATTTATTGACTTTATTCTTACTTAGCTTGGTTGGCATCCTTCTTTGCTGTCTGAAGTTCAAGAACCAATTCTTCCTTTTCCTTTTGCAGATTGATGACGTCTAGTTCTAGATTTTTAATGTTATCCTAGAAAGGTTATAGGTCAGAGAGAAAGAAGGCATTACTTGGCACAGGAAGAAAATCATTTCAGCATTCCATATCTCAAAGAACTATGCATTACATTTTATTACTTCAGTTGCACACTAAAATCATTTGTTCTTAATTTGATGGAGATTGAAGTTACATAGTAGAAAAAGTTTGGAATCCAAAAGCCTGCATTTGAATCTTGACTGCAACACTTACTATCTACTTGTCTTAAGGAAAGACACTTCATCTCTTTTGGTCTTAGTTTCTATGCAGAAAAGAGTTAATACAGCAGGCTTGAGAAAGCTGTCCTTTAAAAGGTTAACTTGTAAGGATGGCCCTTGGCTCATGTCTGGCAACTCAGATTTTGGAAGGGTTCGCACCATTCCCTAACTGATGAGTGGCTTACAATGCCTAAACTGTATAAACAATATGATTTATCCTGAATTCCTATCTTCTTTCTGGAGTCTAGAATTTTGGTATGTAGAAGGCAGAGAATAACTACAGGACTGGCCAGGCGTGGCAGCTCACGCCTGTAATCCTAGCACTCTGGGAGGCCGAGGCGGGCGGATTGTTTGAGCTCAGTAGTTCGAAACTAGCCTGAGCAAGAGTGAGACCCCGTCTCTACTAAAAATAGAAAGAAATTAATTGGACAACTAAAAATATATAGAAAAAAATTAGCCGGGCATGGTGGTGCATGCCTGTAGTCCCAGCTCCTCGGGAGGCTGAGGCAGAAGGATCACTTGAGCCCAGGAGTTTGAGGTTGCTGTGAGCTAGGCTGATGCCATGGCACTCACTCTAGTCTGGGCAAAAGAGTGAGACTCTGTCTCAAAAAAAAAAAAAATAACTACAGGACTGACCCCTGTGACAGCCCTAGACTCCTAGGCTCAGGGGAGCTTCTCTCGTGGACAATATTTCACGCAGGCTGTAACAATCCATTACTGGAGGAATGAAGTGCTTCCTGTGACTCTACTGGGAGAAAATTCTTGGAAGCTTGTACCTGGTTTCCTCCAGACTTTGCTCAAGTGCTTTTCTCTTTGCTGATTTTTCCTTGTATCCTTTCGCCATAATAAAACAACTGCAAGTACAACTATATGCTGAGTCCTGTGAGTCTTCCTAGTGAATCATCGGACCTAGGGGTAGTTTTAGGGACTCCTAAAAGTTTCCCCATCTATGTAAATAATTAACAATAACCCCAACTTTACAGGGTCACTGGGAAGATCAAATAAGATAAAAAGGCAAAGATATTTTGTAAACTATAAAAAGTTACACAAATATTCTCATATTCAGAACTTTCAAACTTATCTACTCAAGCAACTGCAACTCTGCATACATTTAGGAAACTGAATGAGTGGTTGGCATCCAAGAAGATTATATGGAGGTCCTAGACCAGTAATGGACTGACACAGAGAAGCAGAGGCAGGTTAGGTGGGCTATATCAGAGAAGCTTTCTAAATAGGCTAGAGCTGTTTTCTAAGCAATGAACTGAGCTACTTCAGTATAACCAACGAAAATCAATCTCATTGCTTTATAGTTATCCTGCATATTTAAAATGGTCAATAACATGTGAGTGTGTGTGTGTGTGTGTGTGTGTGTGTGTGTGTGTGTGTGTATTCTTTTTCTTTCTTTTAAGAGACAGGGTCTTGCACTGTTGCCCAGGCTGCAGTGCAATGGCACGATCATAGCTCACTGTAACCTTGAACTCCTAGGCTCAAGGAATCCTCTTGCCTCAGCCTTGTGAGTAGCTAGGACTACAGGTGCATGTCACCACACCCAGCTAACTTTAAAAATTTTTTTTGTATAAACAGGGGTTTTGTGATATTGCCCAGGCTGGTTGTGAACTCCTGGCCTCAAGTGATCCTCTTGTCTCGACCTCCCAAAGTACTAGGAATACAGGCGTGAGCCACTGCACTTGGCCTTACATATTCTTTATATCTATTTTTACTTATAGAGGTAACATGAATATATTCTTGTAAAAAATAATCTAGATAATACATATAAAGGTCAGGTCCCCTTGACTGCCTCACCTCTGTCAAAATTCCATTCCCCTCTCCAGAAGTAGCCACTGTTATCAGCTTGGTGCAGATTGTCCAGACATTTTTCTAGACATATACATATTTTATGCATCACATATCTAGACATTTATATATATAGTCATACATCATTTAATGATGGGTTCTGTGAAATGCATTGTTAGGTAATTCCATCATTGTGCGAACATCATAGACATACTTACACAAACCTAGATGGTACAGCCTACTACACACCTAGGCTATATGGTATAGCCTGTTACCCTAGGCTATAAACCTATACAGCATGGAACTGTATTGAATACTGTAGGCAATTGTAACACAATGGTATTTGTGTATCTAGACATATCTAAACATAGAAAAGGTACAATAAAAATACAATAAAAGGTACAATAAAAATAATCTTATGGGACCACCATTGTATATGCAGTCCATCATTGACTGAAATCTTGTCATTTGGTGCATGATTGTATATTAAATATATGTATTATATATATAATGTACATTATATATAAATGTCTAGAATACATAATAAATGATATATAGTATATATATGTGTATACCAATTTAAATGTGTATTAAACAGAAATAGAATTATACTCTATGTATATATTATTCTGTAACTTGCCTTTTTTTTTTTTTACTTAACTGGCCTTGGAGATTTCTTTATATCAGTGCCTATAAATCTGCCTCATTCTTTTTTTTTTTTGCCATAATGAAATATTCTCGTACATGCCTTCTATGCACATGTGCAAGGTTTTACAAGGGCAGAGAGAAGTGGAATTACAGGGTCATGAGGGTACACATTTTCAATCTTAACAGATACTGCCAAATTGTCATCCAAAGTGGCTATTCCAATTTCCACTCTTGTCAACTATGTATGAGAGTACTTGTTTTCCTGCACTCTTGTCAACATTTGATCTTACTACACTTCAAAATTGTCACCAATCTGATGGGTTAAAAATTGTATCTTTTCATTATATCTGTAATTGTCTCACCAACTCCACAGAGGGAATTAATCAAATTTGAGTCCTGGTTTACTACAACTCATGGTAATCTTCATTAATTATAACCTATGCAATTTTTCTGTGGCAATTCTTCACAGTGATAGGAAAAATACTATTTAGAATTAAAAACTGCCTTTATTTCTTAAAAGGGAGAGGTAGAGATTTACATGTGATTAAAGGTAATGTTTACATTAAAAATTTATTTCTTCTCAAATTTTAGGTTTAGGAACTCAAGCATATTTGATTCCAAGAGAAAAAGGACTAGTTACCTTACTATAGCTCTAGCTCTAGCTCATTACTAGCACCTTCTTATGGGGTAAGAAATACAATGGCAAGAGTATCCCCATGTTTCTAGGCAAGAGTACAAAAGAGGAATAATTTCTCAGCCTTACCACTAATCCTTTGTTTATCCTGGAAAAGCCAAAATACATTTGACCTGAAAAAGGCTGCACTGTATGTCCTGTTAATGTGGACAGCAGAGCTACATATTTAACTTGCTGCCTCCTGAAATCCCATTAAAATGGATGTATAAATCAGTAAGAATGAAGACAGGAGAGCAGTTGAGAGATACCGACAGACTTTTTCAAGAGGAAAACAGCTGGATAAGTGGTAACTGACTTCCAAAGTGGAAAAAGCTAAAATAGAACTCCTACAGGATGAATGCCAAGAAGAAGCAAGCCCATTTGTACCACAGAACCACTGAGGGGAGAAGCAGCTTCCTTTCTGGAGAGGCTGAACCTGACAGATTGGACTTACAGACATCAGACACAGCTAAAGGCAAGGATGACAGGGACTGAATAAAAGTCTGCATATGACTAGAGAGACTCCAACTCCCTTATTTTCTCTGGGTTACCTGAATGATGGCACACCATCACTCTGCCCACATAACTCCAGGCAGTAGAATAAAAGATTTCTTTATTGGAAACTGACTAGTCCAAGAGAAACCCATGCATACAGAACTTCTTGGGCTTTTAGTGCCTCACTCTTAAACATGAATAGACAGCCAAGGATTACTAGAAATTTGAGGAAAGCATCTTACATGAAAGAGAGACCAAAACAAACGTATTAGACAAAGGAAATTTGGAGGATACAGAGGCAAGGAAGGGAGAAGAAAAAAACCTTGACAAAATTTAATTCTTATCCTTAGAGATGGGGGCAGTGCATTCACAGAAAAAAAGAATAGAAGGCTATAAAAATAAAGGAACAATTACAGGATCAAAAAGAGATCTTGAAAATTAATAGGCAGATAAAATAATTCACCAGGAATAGAAGGAAATCTCCCACAGAATGGAAGAAAAAGATAAAGAAATAGAAATTAGAAAGAAGATAAGGCCAAGCGTGGTGGCTCATGCCTGTAATACTAGCACTCTGGGAGGCCGAGGCGGAAGGGAGGATCGCTTTAGCTCAGGAGTTAGAGACCAGCCTGAGCAAGAACGAGACCCCATGTCTACCAAAATAGAAGAAATTAGCTGGGCATGGTGGGGGCATGCCTGTAGTCCCAGCTACTTGGGAGGCTGAGGCAGGAGGATTGTTTGAGCCCAGGAGTTGGAAGTTGCAGTGAGCTGTGATGACACCACAGCACTCTAGCCAGGACAACAGAGTAAGACTCTGTCTCAAAAAAAAAAAGAAGATAAGAAAAGCAGAAAATCTAAGAGATAAATTTCTAGATTGGAGGACCTACCAAGCACCAAGCACAATAAGTGAGAAAAGATCCATACCAAGGCACATCATTGAGAAATTAAATAACACTTGAGGACAAAGAAATGATCCTGACGGTTTCCAGAGGAAAAAGAAAATATAGGTCAAATACAAAGAATCAAGAATCATAATGGACTTCTCAACAGCAACCAATAGAAGACAATGGAGCAAGGCCTTCGAAATTGTGAAGAAAAACGATTTCCATAGAATTCTAAGCCCAGACGAACTAACAAGTGTAAGGATGAAAATAAAAGCTATTTCCAGACACGCAAAGGTTTCAAACATTTTCCTTTCATATATGCATTCTCAGAAAGCTATTGGAGTTGTACTCTACACATGCAAAAGGGTATACCAAAGAGGAGGAAGACGTGAAATCTGTTTCAACACAGAGATAAGAAGTGAAGCAAATTCTCAGGATGACTGATGGCTGGGCAGGAGGCCCAGAGAAAGCAAACTAGGACAGAAGATTCTAGGAGGGTTGTTTTCAAGAAAAAAATGGATCGATAAATCATCTGGTGTGTTTGAACATAATAAGAGGAGTTTTTATAGTTTGTCAAGAAGTTTGGTGATAAAATTGATATGTACATAGAATACTAAATGAATTTAAAAATGAGATTATTAATTCTAAAAAATAAAAAAAGCTGTACAAGATAGGAAATGTAATCATATTATACTATGTGGCTCAATTTTAAAACATATTTACATAATCAGAAGAATTTAAACACTAAATATTCATTTAATCAAAAAGTGTTCTATAACCATTTTGAAAGATGGAGATAAGGCAGTGTGCATAGGTAAGAGAGCTATATTCTCATCTTCCACAGTGGGAAGTCAATAGATACTGTCTAAAAATTTTAAATTAACATAGTTATATTGCCAATTCTCATCTAGAAATATGAAGGTAAATGTCAGAAGAAATAGCTTAAAGAACTTAAAGTACCATATTAGCCTAAGGAATAGGTGAAAAGGTGGTAGGGCAGGACTGCTTTTATTTTTCTGCGTATTGTAGTATATGACTTTAAAAATTATATACATGTATTTGTGTGATATAAATAAAAATTAAGTTTTAAAAAAATTAAACAAGACTATGATAACAAGAAGGGAAAAAACTTCTATTGGCAACTCAGTTATTATTTTGGAAGCAACTTCTACCCTAGAGGAAAAAACATGGTGAAAATCAAATATGAGAAATACTTTTCTAGTTTTTACTCTGAAAATGTAGGGCACCTGGTGGCAAAAAAGCATGAGTACTCTAGCTATTTCTCAATACAAACATAGTACTTTGGGGTGGTAGAATATTGCTAGACGGGAAAGCAATCCACCCTTCCTTCTACCATCCTTCCTAGCATCACTATGTCTATGATCACAGACAAACACTGAGAAACACTGGGCTACAGGGGAAAATAAGGTCTGGAGAAAGGGCCACTTCTTGTGGGTAACCTAAAAGCCAAAGACTTGCCTTAAATAAAGACCTGATTATTAATTAGCAAGGGCGACTTAGAACCACCATTAGAAAAAAGTTTAGCCATTTGGCAAGTCATGTGATATACACTAGTCTTACCCAGACCATCTATTAAAAGATGTGCCTTTTTCAGAATCCAAGCATAGTTATTAGAACACAATTTTTCTACAAGCGGGGACCAAGTTTATTATAACATTAATAAACTAATAAATACCTGTGGCATAAGGTAAGGCATTAGATTAAATGCAATAAAATTACAAGTTCCCTATCCCGAATGTATCCTTTTTTAAACCAACAATGCAACTCCAGTTGTACTATGCATATTTTGTTGTCTTTTCATCATCAAAAATGGTGTGCTTGTTTTCTTCCCATCTAGTTAAAGAGAGATGGTAGGCAAGAAGAAATACTGCCCTAGAAAATAGTTCACCTCGTACTGGAACTGAATGGGCTGTAGTTGGCTGTCATTCTGAGTCATCTTCCTAGCTAGGGCCTCTTTCAATGCAAGGGCTTTATTCAACTCAATCAGCTCCTTAGACATTTGAGCTTGACGGAGAGCATGCTGAGTGGTGAAGGCATCAGAAGACCTCCTGGTCTCTGGACTGGTTTCCACTTGCTGGAAAAAATAAGAATAATGATTTGTAAGAGAAATAAGCAAATGGAGTTCCTTAGGCACTATTTCATTAAGTCTCGTAGCCACTTCTCCATTAGCAATATCTGTTCAGTCACAACTGGGGCTTCTCATACAACATTTGCTTTAAATATCTGAAATAAATTGAGTTAGCTTATTTCCCTGCTCTCATAAGCACCTTATTTCTTATATACTTTAACAGACAATTTTAGAACAAACTAAGTTTCTTGCTCTTTCCTTTACTGATCTGGCCAACATTTCTTACTTTGACCTCATTCCAAGGGGTCCTTAGAAGAGAGAAGGTCCTGGAAACAGCACTTTAGGAATGGTGGAAATGAAGAAAACGCTTCATTTATTCTTACACAGCTGACCGCTAATGCCTCATCTAGTATCTTCCTTCTTTCAGAATATGAAAACTACCAACATATGTTCATTTCAGGGGGGAAACGCTGTCTAAACCAAACCATCGTGGAGCCTTTCATTTTGACTTTATCATTTTGACTTTATAACCTAAACATCTATTAATAATATGTTTTATCTATCCTTGCGATCTGAACACTCAAAATATTTTCCTTGATTCTTTTAGCCCTCGATCATCCCAGCTACATAAAAGTATGCTGAGAAAAAACTCTCTTCCATTTTTCCTCTAATGCTTTTTTGACTTTGCCATAATTTCCTAACTTCTTTTCTTCATTTTAACTTGTTGGACAGTTGATGCAGAATACTAGCATCTAACAAGAAATCGGTAAGCTAGATTGCAAATATGGAACATTACACCCCTGAGAAGTCCCGCCACCCATTACCAGTTACACTATTAGACATAGAGCCTATTCAAGTTAGGGGTTTTATGAAGCTGAGATTTACACTAAAGATTTTTAGATTTCCAGGGCATTCCATGGAGGACAGTAACAATCACAGGTTCTCTTCTTCAGTTGAGCGATAAATTATAGGAAATGGCACAGTTAGAGCTCCCAGTTCTACACAAAGGGGCCAATTACTTACAGTTTCTGGTTCCACTGCAGTATCAATGGCTGCAGCCATGCAAGCAACAGTTTCATCCTGCAGTAACAAATGTTTTGGTTTAGGGAAAGATTCTGAAGTAAAGCTTACTAGTGGATTTTATCTTGGTTATTTATTTTTTTTTCAAGTGTATACAGAGATCATTTAAGGTGTCGGACCCATTTTGTAGTCAAAGAAATCCCAACAGCCACATGTTTCCATTTCCCACCTCCTCAAGAGTCTTTCTTTTTCATAAAGGGCAATTGTGTAGCTTTTGTAAAAATAAGGTCTTATGGCAACTGACATATTTCTTACACTCCTCCTGCTCTGCCAGAGATCACTGGGCCAGAATGAAACATTTGGCCATTCTAACAGGCCAAAGTTTAACCCATTTTACGGACACTACTCTTTCTTTTTATGCTTCTACCACTAAGTTTACCACTACTAATGTACAAGTCTAGCTAGTTCTTATGGGCATGCCATTCTAAGAACAAACATATCAAATAATGACAATGCATCAGAAAAGTGAATAGAATCAGGCCTATTTTTGATTTTTAAGTCAGTCAAGTTGGCAAGATCTTCCTCTACAAGGAAATAAATGCCTTAGGTGGATACCCCAGAAAAATTGTGCTCATGAAGTCAGAAAAATGTACTGTAGTCTCTGTCTCTCATGTAGGTAAGAACTGATCATATGCAGCTACTCCAGGTAGTGGTTACTAGGAGGGAAAGGGTAAATACTAATTCCCTCCCAGAGAACAGCAAATTCTTTTTGGGGGGCATTGGAACAACAACCATCTAGAAGGGAAACCTAAAACTACTAATTAGGACTAATTTGTTTACAGACTATCATATGAGCAAGCTCTGTTCTCACCACTGGAATTTAGGCTTTATTTGGCATTGTAATATATGGATTACCACTTCGGTTTAGGTGATTCTGCAAAGCCCTGGGAAGAAAGGATTATTTCCAGGCAGTCACGTGATTAAGGAGGTCATAGGTGAAAGAGCTATTAGCTCAATAGCAAAGAAAGATTTAGGGTTGGCACATGGAGTCTCTATACCAGTCCTGTGAAACATTATATAGCTTTTGGAACTTGAATCTTAGTACCTTTAAGGCAAGGAGTGAAGAGGCCCTCAGTAAGTGCTCTTTGTAAAGCATCTTCTTTATTCTGCCAAGAAACTTCCAATCAATCAGTGAGGTTCAAAGAAAACTCAAAGGAAGTTTCAGTATACCCACATCCTTTCCCATGGTGATTTACAGTACTGATGATTCTCCAAGTGCAGGACATAACTAAATCCTTCTTTAAAAACAGCACATCAATCTATTATAGGTTAATGGTTACCTTTTCCTCTCTCCCATGTTTCAATTTTCAGTATAAGGACTAGTTATGGGCCTATCCTAGATTATCAGGGTCTATTACCTTGTCTTTTGGAGACTTTTTCTAGTACCTTCCAGAGGGTCAGGATCAAAGTAGATAGGTTAATCCTTGAAGAAGATATGCTGATATTGTGAGTTCACTTTTGGCTTTTGGCCCAGTGAAATTTCACAATGCTAAGGTTTAAGCTTAGGGCTATGGTAACATGATCTGTATGAAAATGGCAGGATTCTGCCTTCATCATCCTACATGTAAATATATAACAGTGGGATTTATTTCAATCTCACAACCCTCTTTCCCCCGATTCTAAGGCTACAACTGAGAACCTCTTATAGGTAAAAGACATGATTTGATAAAGTTGATGGTCAGGGGAACAAGGAAAAGGTACATTGCACTACATTAACCAGCAATACCCTTCAGGATGAAGTTTGTGCTTGTAGGCTGTAGGTAATATCATCACTGGGCATGCAAAATGCTTTTTATGAAATTGTTCTTAGAGGAGGGGATATAAACAAAAAAATTATTTGGTTTTGTGGGAACTGAAAGGACTGAATGAATTTCCTCACAGGTAATTGCAACAAGGAGGTTAGCTTGAATTATATTTTAAAGGAAGAAATGGTACAGTTTAGCACTTAAAGCCCCAGGAGGAATATCCAGGAACAATGGTTCCCTGCATAATGGAAAAAGGGGGTATTCGTCCATCACTTAAAATAAAAATAGTTTTAATCCCGAATGAAGGGCACAAGCACTTACTTTTGAAACATTTTGCTTTCACTGCAGTGAGTCTTAAGAAAAGCCACAGGATACATTGTTGTATATTTCAAAAAAATATGTAGCTGGGAGGGTCTCCAAACAATAGATGTGAAAAACTCTGATTCAAGAGTCCACCAGGAGCCCTGGATAAAAAGGTTTACTCTGCCTAACTATGACAGTGGATGGAAGCCAGGAACTTTATCAGCTTGTGGCAATCTTTAGCACCCTCCTACTGCGTGTGCCAAGTGCATTTTAGTGGCAGACATAGCGATTCTACAGAGTTCCTCTGAGCCAGCCACCACTAGCAACTTCCTCTACAGGCACACCAGGCACCAGTCATATTGCCAGATCCTCACTGAGGATGCTTTATCTTATTTTATTAATTTCGTTCCATGGTTTCCTTCATCTTTCCCACATGACTCAAAGCCCCAGAAATAAGGTGGTATGAAATCCTCTAAGATTGGTACGATGGCCATGAACAATGGTGGGTACCCAGGGTCACTATTTTCTGAGATTGTTTTGGCTCCAGTAGGCTGCTACAGCCTAGATTATCTTAATTCTGAAACAGCTTACACAAGGTTTTCACATATCAGATGTTTCAGCTATATCTGAGTGGAATTATAAATGGTGAAATTTAACCTCATGATAGCCATACTCTAGCACGTACTTTATACTTCAGCCATATTGAAGTTCTTACCATTTGCTAAACTTTCACACCTCTTTGCTTCTGCATACACCTTTTCCTCTATATATAGACTACCCATTCCGTTTTGTCTGCATGGCAAACTCCTGTTCATTTTTAGGACTCAGTTTCTTCTATAATGCCTTCCTGAACTTTCTTGACTAATAATCACTGCTTCCTTTGTGCTCCCATTGCACTCTGCTTATATTGCTAATGTAAAAGAATTAAAACAGACATGAGAAAGGGTTCTGAGTTTTCCTTGCCTTCAACCCTTACCCGTTTTTCCTTTCCCTCTCTTTCTTGACACCCCTCCCACCTATGAACCTTGACCAACTGACAAACTACAAGACTTGCAAGAACAACTCTCAGAAAATAATGACAGTTATTAGGATAGGATTGCACCAATATGTTCCTGAGGAAGAGGTATAAAAACTGGAACAATCTCCAACTAAAAGTTTCACAGCAAAAACTGTTACCTGAGCCAAACCACAAGGACACACATTCCTTTCTCCTCACCCTACTAAACTCTAATCCTGCTTCAACTTGGGAAGTTACCTGGAGTTCAGGTGTTCCCTGAGTGCATCAGCTGAATAACGCATTTAACCCCCATTTGAGTCACTTAAATTATTTCCTTTTGACAGTAATACAGCACTTAGCAAGGTCACACAGCTAGTAAGTGGCAGAATTGGCTTCAAACCAGGGTCTGTCTGCCTCTACAGCCCAGGTTCTCAATTACTGTGCCCTGTTAGTTAGATAAATGAACTGTCATCTTGGACTGCTCATCACAGTTTTATACAGCATCACTTATTCTAGAACACTGCCTAATAGTCTTTTAGGAGTTTACTCATTTAATTTCTTAGAGCTAGCTATCATAACCCTTCCCCACCAACAATATTGTAAGGCACTTTTTTTCAGTTACTCTTTAAGAATAAATCTATGTGTGGATGATTTTGTGACACACGATTGACAACTCCAGAAACCATTGGGGAAGTCCAGGGTTGGGAGATTCATGGTTCTAATAAAATTAAAACCTCTACCCAAGAGCTAGGAGTTAGCACCAGGTATTTATATACATATCAGTGCTGCAGAATAACAAACAAGAGAGTATAGATGGAACAAAACCAACCATAACCTCTTAACAGTATGTTATAGTATGATTTCAATGTAAAAAAAAAAAGCATATATGCCTAAGGACTAAGAGAAGAAAAACCAAAAAATAAAAATGGATTTTTAGGGGTAGTGGGATTGTGAGAATTTTTCTTCTGGGAAAAACAATAAATACCCCTATCCCCAAAACACACCCAGAACTACTTTAATAGTTCTAAAAATAAATAAAAATAGGAACTTATGGTAGAATGATCATTCAAACTTACTTATTATTGGTTATAAAAGTGAGCTATGGTATTCCCTTGTTGCTCTAAGCTATCTGTCAGAACTCAGCTTATTTAAAATTGGGGTGTGGTACAAGGCCTCTTATTAAGTTAGCCTACACTGAGAGAACAGCAAATCAATGACTGCTGCTCTTGCTACCTAGGCAATTTTGGGCTGCTATGTTGTTGCTTTTAGTATTTGATTAGAATACTGAAATACTAATGTGCCATTACATATGTAACTTATAAGTGTTTTGATTTGGCAAACTTAATATTCAGATCATATCCAACGATCCATGACCTCTGTCCTCAAGCAGCTCATAATCCATTGTTTCAGCAAAAGGCACAGAGTTAGAAAGGCTTATATGCATCAAGAGAAACAAATGAAAGTGATATGCCTATTGATACTGCCCCTACTTGGCTTACCGATAACTGGGTTATCAATTGCTGTAGGCTACAAATTATCTCTACATTTTCTTTTAATTCTTGGTCTTCCAAAGTCTCGACTAGCTTTTGAAGATCCAGTTTGCAGCTGAAAATTCAAGCAAAAAGAACTCAAGGGTTAATCATACTGCAAAGGCCAGAGGATCCATGATTATATACTAAGGTGGTATAGGTCATTAACAAATATCTGGTAGGCAACTTACGCTGCATGCTGTCTGAGCTCTTCTAGCTTGGCACTCATTTTTTCATTCGCTTGCTCTGTCTGCAACAAAGACACGGGAGATCATCAGTGGCAGTGCCTCCCAGCCTCACCTAATTATGCTCTTTCTCCTACTCCTATGGATTAAAACCTAGGTAGAGAGGCTGCCTTTGCTGTAATAGAGGATTTAGCGAGCTTTGGTTATTTAGTGAGAAATGTGTTTTTTAACAGAGTCATGGAAATTAGCCCTTCAGTCAACATGAGCTACTAAAAATAGCATCCAAGCAGCTGGGTTTTATGCTTGCCACGAAGCTCAGACTATGAGGTAGAGTGTGAAGCCTTAATTCCATAGAGAACTTTGCAACTAGGGGAAAAAGCAGTACTTCCTGGCATGCTACTCCCTGCTGTTTGCAAAAAAATCACTTACTTTAAACTGCCTCCTACACTACACTGTTCCCTAGCCCCAGCATAAGGGCATTTAAAACATAAAAGAGCCTCACACTAAATTTGAGCTGAGATTTTTTTTTTTAAAGTTACACTATCTGATATGGTAGGCTAGTTTTAGCAAAAGACAGCAAGAAAAAGGGTAAGGCACAAGAATGATGGTAGAGAAAGAGGAAATGGCAGAAGGCAGCTACATTTTGGGGAGAGTGACTGATATTTTCAGTTTTATTTCAATCACAGTATCTGTAACATGCTGGATGTTATAACAGATTTAGGAAGAATAGTTTGTATAGGACAAAAATGTGCTTGTTATGAAGTTATGACAGGATATCAAACAATAAGCCTATCAGGTAGCCATTGTAACAACCTTATAAAGGTCAGATGGGTATGTGGCTAGAATAACAAGTACTGTCTGTTATGGCAGCTATACTCACATACATGTGAAAACACGGCTTCTAGAGTTACTTTAAAGGCATAAAATATAACACTGGAGACAGAAAACTGTACATAAAAATCCCCTAGATCCCATTTTCACCCTTCTGCTAGTAATGAACAGTATAATGGACATAGGAATTAGCCCACTTTAAAGAAATCTTTAAGCAGCTTATCTTTCCTTGACTAGAGAGCGCATGGATGCATGAAGGTAAGTTACAGAAGTTCAATTACATTTTGGTAAAAACTCATTTTCGTTTCTGGCAATGGTTGTGCTATCAAAGATTGAGTTGTATTTAGACTAGTAAAAAACCTTAATGACAGAGCCAGCATGCACTGATCCAGGAGGTTACTATCAAACAGACAGGTAGTAGGAGTAAGAATTGGTGTAATCAGTTACATAGTGATCCACTATTTGGAAATTAACCACATGGAAAATGAATTAAGATTAATTTCCCAGCTGTTGTGTCTCACCATGGCAGCTGTCATATCCCATGGATGGGATATGAAATGTGACATTAGGGGAAGGGAGATAGAGAAGAACTAAAATCTTAGTGAGGGAACAGTTACTTGGTATTATGGATAAAGATTAGGTAGGACTTAAGGTGACAGAGGGACTTGGTTCTTTCCTTTCTGGTATTTTAGAACAAATCTATTTTAAAATGGGATTCATGTAGAATCTTTGTGGTGGATACATAGATGTTCATGGTACAATTCTTTTAACTTTTCTGTATGTTTCATTACAAGCCCATGTATTTACCCTAGAAGGGTTCCCAAGAGGGTATGGTAATATAAATACATTTCTTCCCACATAACTTGTCTGTCATAATGAGAAACATGTTAAATATTTTGGAAACATAAGGTAGTAAACGTCTAGATTGCTAGTAGTTTAGTCTTGGGGCCTCACCAAAATGATCCTCTCCAACATCTGGGCTGTCTGACCAGCTGCCTCGCTCAGACCACGACTTAATTTTTCATTCTCCTCTACCAGAGACTGATTCTTCTCCATCAGGGATTGCAGATTTTCTGATGGCTCCACACTAAAACAAAATAAGTAACATATTAGAAAAATACCTGATTGATAACACCTATATCAAAGGTGGGTAAAAATATATCCCATAGGCCTTTTGAGTGGGGGATTGGGTTAAAGTCACCCCCCAAAAGTCTGGGAAAACTGTGTCCAACACAATCTATCCTCCCAGTTAGGTAGCATATTGGATGAACAAGAAACACACGCTTTCAGTATTTTAATGGTTTCAAGGAGGTAAAAATTCAGAGCCAGATATGATTGTAACAGGATGAATAACCTCTACCTTGGCTCTTGGTTTAAGATCTTTCTATTTGTGTCCTGTAGGTAAGAAGTGAAGGCAAATTGTAGCTAAAATACATGTTCTCTCCCTTTTCTTCCCACCCTCGATCCTTCATCAAAAATCAGGGTAATAGGGAAGGAAGAAGAATGGAGGAGGTAGAAGAGATACTGCTCAGGGTCAAAATGTAAGCTATTAGCACAAGTTGATTATCCATTTACTGTAACGTTTAGGGAAATAGCATTTAAGAAGTCAGAAAGTTGAAATGATGACCAGTGGCCACTAAGAGCACATTTCACAATTCTTTATAAATAAGTGCTTCCTTCTAAATGCTTGCTTTGCTTAAAACTGATGACCCGCAGCCTCCTGTTCATTTGCCTACAAATTTTAAATTACTTAGATTGGATGCTGGCAACAATGGTATCTGTTTCACATAGGAGTGGAAGGGAGGGACAGAAATAGCTTGAAGGAATGCATACATACAGGTAAGAACTTTTGGAACTTATACATATCACTTGATATCAGTTCAAGACTAGTAAAGCAGACCAATAAGAAGCATAGTTTTTTTTTAATCCACTGGGATGAAATGTTCAAAAGACTGGAAAATAGGACTGGTAAAAAAAGATCAGAAGAAATATGAAGATTTGATCTAAAGAAGACTGAAGGGAAAAATGAATAGTTGTGAAGCCTATGACAAAGAGAAAAAAAGGACAGGGAACAGCTGTTCTCAATCTCAATAAAGACTAGAAAAGGATTTCAGGAATAGAGTAGATGCCCTCTCACCCAGCTTAAGACCCCTATCAATTCTCATAGAAAATTTTAGACTGCTCTTTATCAAAAAGTTAATAGCAAGGCCACACAATAAGGCCTCATATTACACTGTTGAGAATTTGCTAAGACTCTTATGAAGGAATGTTCCATTAAAACATGGATTATAAAAATAAACTATTAGTAAATTTAAATGTTATTTTAGATTCCTGTTTCCTTATTTCCTTATTCTTATTAAACTGAAAACTTCCATGCATCATTCATGTAAGTTGACAAACTTCAAAGTAATTATATTTTCAACTCAATAGTTTTTTTTTCCCTAAAAAATTTTCAGAGTTTATCTAGATGGGAAAGTCAACCGTTGATTTTTCCAAGGAAAATTTAGCACTTAGGGTAGCCTCTTCAGTACAATTTGAGTCTAATGATTGAATATTTAAATACTACTACGATTAATAATAATAATAGATGGACACACTAATAACTTTGACTCAAACTGTACAAAAGTAATTCATGTAACCAAAACATTTGTACCCCCAGAATATTCTGAAATAAAACAAAAAGATTACAATGGAGTTGAAAAATTCCTCTTGCCTAGTGACATCGCAGCTGTCTTAACTAACGTCCTAACAAGAAGAGTCTCAGGCAGGTCCTTCAGGAGGTATTCCAGAAGAAGGCATTGTTATCTAGGAGATGACAGTGCCATGGGTGTTATTGCCCCTGAAGACCATCCAGTGGGACAAGACGTGGAGGTGAAAGACAGTGATACTGATGATCCTGGCCATGAGCAGGCCTACGCTAATGTGTGTGTTTGTGTGTTAGTTTTTAACAAAAAAGTTTAAAAGGTGAATAAAAAATTAAAAATTTTTAAAATAGGAAAAAACTTATAGAATAAAGATATTAAGAAAGAAAAAAATAATAGTTAACACTCCCATAGAATTATGTGCTCAGTTGTATTCTAAATGCTTTATTATATTAAACTTATTTAATTCTCACAACAGCTCTATGAGGTAGGTTCATTCTATTGTTACGCCCATTTTACAATTGAGGAAACTGAGGCACAAAGAGGTTAAATAACCCAAAGCCACACAACTAGTGAGTAATGGTGAAGCTGGGATTTGAGCTCAACAGTCTAGTTTCAGAGTCCATGCTCTTAACTACTATGCTGACTACAGAGATAGGTACTGTAGGAATTCAGAGAATACCGGATATAAAAGCTCTCATAGGGTAAGGAAAAAAGAGTTCTTGGCAAGATTATAGATATATCATATTACAAGACCACAACATTAAATAGGACAGCCATACGATGGGGAAAGTCTTGAAGACTAAAGCAGAAAACAGGATTAGGGCCAGGCAAAGATCAGACTGAAAAAGAATATACAACAGAAAACCAATGTTTTCTCATGCTACTTAATTGCTAAGGCTCGGAATTCACGTTTGCTGAGTATATGTAAATTGACAAACACTCACAGAAAATAAATATGAAAGCTTCAATGACACACATTAACAAACAGAACATAATCCAAGGACAACTACCCGAAAGATTCATATATGTAAAATGAACTTTTTATAAAATGCCTTATAAAATGTCTCTAAAAATATACATATATATACATTTTTGAGAAAAGTAGCAGCATCTTTATTTCTCTGTAAAACATTGAACAATGAGCTGGGGGAGGTGGCCCATGCCTGTAATACTGGCACTTTGGGAAGCCAAGGCGGTAGGATCGCTTGAGCTCAGGAGTTGGAGACTAGCCTGAGCAACATAGTGAGACCCTGTCTCTATAGGAAATAGAAAAATTAGCTGGGCATGGTGGTGTCCACCTGCAGTCCCAGCTACTTGGGAGGCTGAGGCAGGAGGATCACTTGAGTCCAGGAGTTTGAGGCTGCAGTGAGCTATGACAATGCTGCTGCACTCTAGCCCAGGCAACAGAGCTAGACCTTGTCTCCAAAAAAACTAAAAACAAAACCAAAAAACATTGGACAAGGGAGTTTGATTGTTTGATTCATCAACTGTTTCTTAGAATCTATTACTTTTGCAGCTGAAATTGTATCTTTTAGTATATTCTAGTCAGTCAGAAGTCTGGAATCATTTTCTTTAGTCTTGTGTTCATTAGTCTTATCAAATGTGACATGTTTGTGCTAAATTGAAAAAAAAAAAGGAAGAGCATCAATTGTTTCTAAATGAGTATAGTGAGAATAGGCCTTTAAGGGATCCTAGCTTTCTTCACTTTATCCAACATTCTTAAAATATTATCAAGGAACCCAGACTAAATTACTAAAAGAGGGAAAATTAAAAGAGAAGGATAGTCATCTCTGGGTGATGAAATTATAGCAACTTTTAAGTTTTATTCTTCATATTTCTCTAAATGCTCTACAAGAAGCAATGTATCACTTTTATAATAAGAAAAAATGAATGAGCTATTGAAAATAAAGGTAGCAAAATAGGCTTACATCATACATAAGAATAAACACCAAATGGAAAAATGAAATGTAAAAAATAAAGTGACATTAGTTCTAGAAGAAAACATAGGTGAATTCCTCTTTTAACCTTGGTGTAGGGAAAGGCTTTCTAACTATTAATCAAAATCCAGAAGCATGGAGAGAATGTAAATGGTGTAGCCACAGTTTGGCTGCTTCTTAAACAGTTAAACATACAACCTAGCAATTCCACTCCCACACATCTACCCAATGAAAACATATGTCCATATAAAAACTTGCAAGTGAATGTTCACAACAGCATTATTTATAATAGTCCAAAAGTGGAAACAACCTAAAAATTCAACTGGTAAATAGATAGACAAATGTGGTATATCCAGACAATGAAATACTATTCAGCAATAAAAGGGAATGAAGCACTGACACATGATGAACATGTGTCATGGATGAATCTCAAAAACATAATATAAACAAAAGAAGGCAGACAAAAAGACCACATACTTACGATTCCATGTATATGAAATGATAGGCAAATCTATAGAGACAGAAAACAGATTAGTGGTTGCCTTGGGCTGGGAGTGGGAATGGGAGTGACTGCAAATGGGCATGAGAGAACTTTTTGGGGTGATGGACACGTTCTAAAACTGGATTGTGGTGACAGTCATACAACTCTGTAAATTTACTAAAGAAATCATTGAATTGTATACATAAAATGAGTGAATTTTATGGTATTTAAATTATAGCTCAATAAGGCTGCTAAGAAAATGCAGAGGCAATAAAAAAGATTAATGAACTACTATATAACAATTAAAAATGTTTTGTATGACTAAAAAACCACCATAAACAAAGTAAAGGACAACTGAAAAACTGGGAGAAATATCTGTAACACACACCACAGACGAATGGCTAATATCATTAATACATAGAGAACTATTAAAAATAAGGGTAAAAATTAAGGTTGCTATTATTAAAAAAAGAACAGAAAATAAGTGTTGGTTAGAATATGGAGAAACTGGAAACTATGTACACTACTGGTGGGAATGTAAAATGATGCTGCCACTATGGAAAACAGTATGACAGCTTAATTAAAGATTAAAAACAGAATTACCGTATGATCCAACTATTCTACTTCTAGGTACATACCCAAAGGGATTAAAAGCAGGGATATGAATGGCTATTTGTATACCCATATTTTTTTCCTTTTTTAAGGAGACAGGGTCTTGCTGTTGCCCAGGCTGGAGTGCAGTGGCTATTTATAGGTGCGATCATAGTGCACTACAGCCTCGAACTCCTGGGTTCAAGTGATCTTCCTGCCTCAGCCTCCTGAGTAGCTGGGACTATAGGCATCTGCCACCACACCCAACTCTACACCCATATTTATAGCAGCATTATTCACAACAGCTAAAAGATGGAAGCAGCCCAAGTATTCATAGACAGATGAATGGATACACGAAATGTAGTATATACATACAATGGATTATTATTCAGCCTTCAAATGGAAGGAAATTCTGACACATGCTACAATATGGATGAGACTTGAAGACATTATGCTAAGTGAAACAAGCCAGTCACAGAAGGACAAATACTGTATGATTCCACTCATATGAGGTACCTAGAATAGTCAAATTCATAGAGACAGAAAAGTAGAATGCTGGTTGCCAGAGTCTGAGGGGAGAGGGAACAGGGAGTTATAGAGTTTAGAGTTTTGGTTTTGCAAGATAGAAAAAGTTTTGGAGATGGATGGTGGTGATGATTGCACAACACTGTGAACATACTTACCATTGAATTGTATACTTAAAAATGGTTGAGATGCTAAATTTTATGTTATATACATTTTACTGCAAGTTATTAAAAAAGGACCAAAGGACAAAAAAATCAGATAGAAAAATGGGAAAAGATATGGACAATTCACCAGAAAAAGAGATAAAAGTGGCCCTCAAACATGGAAAAATGCTCAAACTCACTCAGAATTAAAGAAATGCAAATTAAAATGTCATTATAGTATTTCTCACCTATCAGATTGGCAAAAATTGAAAAAGTACGACAACACATTCTGTTGTTGAGGCTGTGGGATATAGGCACTCTCATACACTGCTGGTGGGAATGCAGACTGGCACAACCCTTCTGGAGGGGAATATGGCAATACCTAACCAAACTACTAATGCACTTACCTTTTGCCCCAGCAATCCTACTTTTAGAAATCTACCCTGAAGTTAAGCCTCTAACAATACCAACATATATACATATAGGTTATTCACTATAGCATGTTTGTAATTGCAAAATATTGGGAACAACCTAAATGTGTATATGTAGGAGAGAGGTTGAATTAATATATGGCACATGTACATAATAAGAGTACTAGGCAGCTGTAAAAAAGAATGAAGAAAACTTCTCTGGACTGACAAGAAATGATTTCCAAGAAATACTAAACACATCAAAACTACAAAGAATATACTATCATTATACACAGTATACTACCATTCATATGAGAAAGGTGATATAAGAAAATATACAGGTATCTGCTCATTTGTATATTAAAGAAATACAGGAAGACTAAACCAGAAACTAAAGGGACTGGTTAAATACAAGGGGAGGGAGAACAGCAATGGAAATAGGGGTGGAATGGGAACAGGGTAGCAGAGATGAAGAGGGAATGACATTTCTCTGAGTTTATCTTTTTTCCCCTTTTTAATATATACAGATAAATAGATACAAAAATATAGATGAGAGTGTATGTGTGGGTTACTATACATGCAGATTTCCAAGCTCTACCTGCTCAGAGGGCCCAGACGCAGTGAAACCCTAGTAACAATGAACACAGCTAGTGCCAGTGCCCCGATCTTGGTTTCTAAACACCATTTTCCAAAAAAAGAAACCAAGGCTCCTTGGAGACATAGTTGATTCCAGAACTAGGGCAGGGAAAATACAAGATAGGTTTGGAACATCTTGCAGAAATGTCAAAAACTTGAAAATTTATTAAAGAACACAACAGCCAAACCAAAGGAGCTCCTAATGGACAAAGGAGGAACAATTTGAGCAATAAAATGAATGACAGTATGGGAGGTTAACCCACAGAATAAAATAAATATCCATGCTTCTATACAGATAAAACTAAATAATCAAAGAAACAAAGGAGAAGAGACAGCTCTTCCTCACAGAATTCCAACTAATAAATTTCTGAGGCTAGAACCCATGCTCTTTCTATTACATAAGGCTGCTTCAAACATAACTAGCTACGTCCTAAATAGTCAGCAAGATTGATAAGATCCGTACCTTCACACCAAGTGCTATCAGAAACTTTAGTAAATCAGGGAAAAACAATTATTAGGAGAAATAGCCTCTACTAGAATATACATTTAAAATTAATCTATGACTCTTACTTCATAGATCCAGGCAGGGTACCTCCATGGGCTTGTAGCAACAAGACCTGTAGCTGTTGTACCTGGGAGAAGCAAAGAAAAATAATCAGCTAGCCACCAATCAAATGCTACTTATCCCTTTGCAGTGAAATTACCATAATTAACAGTAAGGTAATTTTACTCGATGCCTATGAAATCTAAGGCAGACTTTAGATACTACAGAAGGCACCAGGGTTGATGAGCCAATGATAAAACTATAATCAACATTACATGAACAACTATTACTTAGAAGTTGAGTTGTGTCTTTTATCTAAGCATCTTAAGTTTTCACTGAGCACCTTTTTTTTAAGAGACTGGAGTCTAGCTATATTGCCCAGGCTGGGGTTTGGTGGCTACTCACAGGTGCAATCACAGCGCACTGCAGCCTCAAACTCTTGGCCCCAAGAGATCTTCCTGCCTTAGCCTCCCGAGTAGCTGAAACGTACCTATTTTTTAAATCAAACTCACACTGGGCTATGGAATGTAGGTGCATACAAAAATAAAATATGGTGCCTTCTCTCAGGTTTACAATCTAGTTGAGGAAGGCAAGCCTAAAGCCTAAAATAGGAGGAAATAATACAAGAAAGAAGATGCTAAATTGTCAGGAATAGTTAAGTACTTTAGGGTTCCGAGAAGCAACAAATTAACAAAACCCTAAAATAGTCAAAGGGAGGCTTCATGGAGATGGATCTTAAACCAGAGCCCCTGTGCAAGCATCCTCTCCCATTCCCTTCCATGACACAAGAGGAGCCGTTCTGCCTCCTACGACTAGTCTCGCTTGTGCTTTGGATCTCCACTCTTCTTGCCTCCTTATGAATCTTACTGTTACTCCTTCTCTCTTCTATATTTTCAAGTTCTCCCTTTCCACAAGATCTTCGTCTTAAGACTAAACCATGTTCAAGTTGCTCCTATCTTAAAACAAAAACCCCATTTCCTCTCTCTGGTCCTATTTTTCTTTTTCGCAATGAAAATTTGAGAGAATAGTTTACACCAATTGCCTCCAATTCCTTTCGTTCACCCCTAATTTACTCCTTAACCCATTCCAATCTGATTTTTGCCCACAGCATTTCACTGAAATAACTTGCTAAGGTCACCAGTGATCTGCATGTCACTAAATCCAACAGTCATTTTTCAGTCTTCATTTTATTTGATTGACTGTTTGGTAGTACTTGGCTTACCAGACACCACACTTTCTGGTTTTCCTTCTACTCTTCTAGCTGATCCTCTAAGTCTCTTTCTTGGTTCATCTTTGCTCTGCTTTTTTAAATGATAAAAATCCCCCAAAGCTTAGTATCAGTCTTCTCACTTTATACTGTCTCCTTATATTCTCTTCTTAATGTCTCATCTCTATGGTTTCAATTATCATATATAAACTCAAATTTATCTCAAATGTAGATCTTTCTGAACTTTAGACCTTTACATTCAACTATCTACCTGATATTTCCACTTAGTTGTCTGCTGTCCTTAAGCCTTGCCCTTTTCCAGTGCACTCCAGGTCGGTGAATATCCAGTTCCACACGTCAGAAATCGGGGAGTCATTTCCCTATCTAATTCACTGGTTATTTCTTTCTGTCACTATCACTACCACCCTAAGTCCAAGCCACCAGTGTCTCTCACTTGGATTACTGCAGTACCTTCTTAAATGGTCTCCGTGAATCCACTCTTGCTCTACTATAATCCATTTTTATACAGCAGCCAGACCATCTTTTAAAAATGTGAATTATCAATGTTACTTCCCAGGTTAAAATCATTTTTAAAATGGCCCATGAGCCCTTGATCAGGCCTCTGCATTCCCTCTAGCCTCATAACACTGGAACACAGGCACACATCTGTTATGGTGCTTCACTTTATTGAGCTTCATAGATACCATTGAAGGTTTGTAGCAACCCTCCATCAAACAAGTCTATTGGCACCATTTTTCCAACAGCATGTAGTCATTTTGTGTCTCTGTGTCAGCATTTTTTTT